CACCCTGCTTCTGCCACATCTCCGGCTAAAGCGGGAGAAGGCTCCGTCGAAGGCGTGAGAAGGGGTCATGTCAGGGAAGAAGCAGATGTAAGAAGGAAGAAGGGGACACTGGGGGGGGGTGCGAACGTGAAAAGAGCCTCACGGGGTGCTTTTTTTCTTTCTGGAAGGACATGGCATGTTCTGCTTCGGAGTGGAGGGGTGAGGAAGGAGGGCTTAAGCAGGGCCTCTTCTCCTCTGAAGATGGGGCCTCCCGTCGCAGGGTGTGGAAACACATGTATCCCATCGGTCCAGTCGGATGTGTGTGTGCCGGGGGGGGGGCTCAAGGAAGATGAAGGGCCTCGGGCCATGCCATGGGTTCCAACAAGGTAAGTCCTGGGGGTCAGGGGGAGTGGTACTAAAGAAGGAGAGCTTATGCCTGGCCAGTGTTTGATCAAAGGGAACCCTCCACCAGCCGATGCTCCGATTTGGGGAATTTGAGCCAATGTAACAGGTTCTCAGGGACGTGGTAGCGCTGCGGGCTAAACCGCAAAATGCAAGTAGATAAATAGGGACCACCTCGGTGGGAAGGTAAACAGTGTTCTGTGTCTAAGTCGCACTGGCCATGTGACCACGGAAGATGGTCTTCAGACAAAATGCTGGCTCTATGGCTTGGAAACGGGGATGAGCACCGCCCCCTAGAGTCGAACACGACTGGACAAAAAAAAATTGTCAAGGCGAACCTTTACCTTACCTAACAGGTTCTCGGCCGTGTGCGCCACCCCAATGCCTTTGCCCCCTTAAATCAGTCAGCCACTCTCGAGGGTGCAGAAGGGCGGAGAGGGGGCACCCCATTGCTACGCCCTTTGTCTGGCACAGGGCAAAGGCTTAGAACATCCTTCCTCCCCCCCCCCCTTCAGCACTGCTTTCTTTCTTTCTATCTATCACATTTTTGTTCACCTATCCAGATTCATGACCATTCCTGTACTGTTGGTTTGCTGCCAACAGGGATCTGCCCCTCGGAGCAGCGGGCTGAGACCGCCGGCTGGCACCGCAGGGACATAAAGAACGCACGGCAAGAGAAAAGCGGGAGGGATGACAAGATTCCTGGTGACATGCCGACCCGACATGAGCAACCTCGCTGCCCACCCTCTGTGGAGCCTAATCCGATGGAGCGTCATTTCCCCTTTTTCTTAACGGTCCGCCTGGCGGGGCCGAGCGCCTCTGAGTTAATTCGATCCTGCAGGTGCAATCTGCCTTGCCTCAACCTTTAAGCAAACCAGGTTAGCCGGGCGATGAATCTTTCGATTCCCCTTATTAGGAAAAGGTTCCCCGATGCGTCTTGACAGGGTGACGCTGAGGCCCGAGGGGGCCTGATCCGCATCCGGCTCCTGGTGCCTACGGCCGTGATGCAATTCCCCGGCCAGTGTTTGTGGTGGAGAAAGGGGACTGACGTCAAAACCCAGTCTGGAGAGGAAAAGAGCGGGGCGCGAGGGGGCTCTTGGGGGTGCTGAGAGAGAAGTGTGCCGGAACGGATCGGGCAGGGCTCTCCGCTGGGGCTGGCCTGTGTTTGCTTTTCGTCGGCATTTCCAGCCTGCGAAAGTTGGT